TTTTTTGGGGGGGGGGGGAAAAACCTTTTTATTCTCTTGGCCAACCGGGTGGGGCCAAACTTTTTGGTTGGTGTTTGGGAAGGCCAAAATAAAAGAAAAGAAAAAAATCGACGGGGGGGGGGACGACCCCAAACCTTTTTTTGATTTCCCCATTTTTCCAAAAACAATTCCCGAAAATGCCTTTTTTTTTTGCCTTTTTTCGCTTTGCGGACAAGGAAAAAGCCCCAAAAAAAACAAAACCCTCAAAACGGGGTTTCCCCCCAAAACCGAAAGGGGGCCAATTTTCACCCCTTTTTCCCCCAAAAAAAATCCTTTTTTTTCGAGGGGGCCCTTTTAACAAAAAAAAAAGAAAAAACGAAAGGGGTGGAAAAAGTAAAAGCCCTTTTACAAAGAAAGTTTGAAAAAGCCCCTTGGTCAGAAAAATTAAACGAAAAACCGAGTTTAAAAAAACATTTTGGGAAAAAAAAAATGGGAAAAATTTTTGGAAAAAAAAGGCGGAAGGGAAAAAAGTTTTGGGGTTGTTTGGTGGCGGTGGTTTGGTTTGTTGGTGGGGGGTTGGTTGGGGGTGTTGGTTTTGGGTGGGGTGTGGGGGGGGGGGTGGGGGTTGGTTTGTTGGTGGGTGGGGTTTTGGGGTTGGGGGGGCGGGGGGGGGGGGGGTGGTTGGTGGGGGGGGTGGTTGAAAAAAAGGAAAAAATTTTTTAAAAAAAAAAAGCCCAAAAAATTTGCGCTTTTTTTTTTTTTTACCCCAAAATAAAAAATAAACATTGAAATTTTTTTGTTCTTTTTGTTTAAATTTGAAAAAAAAATTAGTAAACAGGGGGGTTTTTAAACGTTTTTAAAAGTGGGGCAAAAAAAAAAAGGGTTTTTTTTGGTTTGGGGTGTTTTGGGAGAAGAAAAGGAAAATTTAAAAAATTAAAGAAACAGCCCCAAAATTTTAAAAATTTTTTTTAAAATTTTTTTTTTTTTTTTTTTTTTTAAATTTCTTTTTTTTTTTTTTTTCCCCCCCCAAAAATATTTTTTTTTTTAGCCATATGTTTTTTCGGCAAACTTTTTTCCGCCAAAATTTTTGCTAATTTTTTTTTAACGAAAATCCAAAAATCAATTTTTTTTTCTTTTTTTTTCAAAAAAAACAGAAAACTAAAAAGCCATCTACAAAAACAAAAGAAAAAAAACAACAAACTTTTTTTTTGGGCGCCCCATAACTTTGTTTCCCCTTGGGCAAAAAATTTAAATCTTTTTTTTGCAAAAAAATGGCCAAACTTTTTTTTACCCAATTTGGACCAAAAAAAACTGAAAAAATTAAACTGGTCCAAAACAAAAAAAAAGATTTAAAAAGTCCGAATTTTTCGAAAAAACGAGGAAACAAAAAAAATTTTTTTGGTCCCCGCTTCTAATGAAGAAAACCCAAAAAAAAAAATTTTGGTTGTTTTTTTCGTCTTTGTTCCCAATTAAACTTTTTTTGAAAAAAACTTTTTCCCGGTCCAACCCCATTAAAAATTAAAACACCAAATTTCTACAAAATTAAAACAATAAAATAACCAATGTGTTTCCCTTTTGCAAAAAAAGTTTTTTTGCTCTTAAAGGCGCAAAAACTTTCAAAAACCTAAAAAAATAAACACCCCCTTTTTTTCCCCCCCAAAAACCAAAAAAGAATTTTTTACCTTTTCTTTTCTCGCCCAAAACAAACAACAAAAACAAAAAACCAATTTTTTTGGGGTCAAAAAGCTTTTTTTTTCAATTTTAGAAAAAGACTTCAAAAAAAAAAAATTTTGAACAGTTTTTTCCCCCATTTTTTTACCCCTTTCAAGTTTAAAAGCCCCAAAACAAACTTTTAAAATTACTGGACCTAAACAAAAAAAAATCCCCAAAATCCATACAAAACAAAACCTTCCAACAGCGCTATCGATTATTGGAAAAAAAACTCTGACACGGAAAAAACTGGAAACCCAAGGTTTTTTTTTGGGAGAAAACAACAACCTCTTTAAAAAAAACCATAATCACGGAAAAACAAAGTAAAATGTTTACTTGAGGTTCTTTTTAACTTACGTCATTGTTTTTTTTTTTTTTTTTTTTTTTTAAATTGTCTTCCCCCCAAATTTTTTTTTTTTTTTCCAAAGAAAAAAGAAAAGCCACCGGTAAAACAAAAGAAAAAACCAAAAAAAGATTTTGAAAAAAAAAATAGCCAATAAACACTTGGAAAAAAAAAAAATTAAAACAAAATCCGGTGTTTAAAAAAATTGGAAAAATTGGTTAAAATTCAGACCAAAAAGGTTTAAAAAAGCAAAACGGAAATTGGGAAGAAATCTTATTAAAGTAGCTTTTTTTAAAAACCTGAAATCCCCTTTGCTTTTTTTTTCCTTTTGGGGCGTCCTGGGGGTTCTTTGGGGCCCAAACATTTAAGCTTTTTTCAAATTGCCTTAACGTTCCCCCCCCCAAAAAAAAAAAAACAGCCCCCACGGTATGTTTTTTCTCCTTTTTTTTTCCCCTTGCAAAGAACCAAAGCGTGGCGGGGGAAAAAAATAAAAAATCCTTTTTTTTCCCCCCTTTGGTTTGTTGGTTTTCCCCAAACCAACCAACCCCCTTTTTTTTGGAAAACAACATCCTTTTACTTTTTTGAAAAAGTTGAAAAAGGGAAAAAGGTCCCCCCCTTTTTTTTTTTTTTTAATAGGAATTTTCTCAACTACTTGGCGTTAAAAAAAAAAATTTACAAATTTTATTTAAACCCTAATAGGAAAAAAGTTTCCAATTTGAAAAAAAAATTTTATCAAGCCTGGTTTCTTTTGAAAAAAAAAAAAAAAAAGGCAAAAAAATTTCCCATTCTTACCAAAAATGGAACGTGTTTTTTCTTATCGAAAAAAAGTTGTAAAACAACTTTCCAAATTTCACCCAAAAACAAAAAAAAAATTAACATTTTTTTTTCCTTCAAAAATGGTTGCCAAAAAAAGGATAAAAGACCCCCCTTTTACAAATTTTTTAAAAAAAACGGAAAAAAAAAAACTTTTGTTAAAAAAAAAATGTTTTTGAAATCCAAGCTTTTCATAAGCCTTTTTTTTTTTTTTTAATTCCTCCCCCGATTTAAAATGAAAAAAAAAAAACAAATCCTTTTTTTTCAAAGAGCGCCTAATGCGCAAGTTCCCCCAAAATAAATCCACAACTAATTTAATAAGCTTTAAAAAAAAAAAACCGGCCACCAATTTAAAAAAAAAAAAAAACAATATTTTTAAGTACAAAAGTTTTCCCCCATGGCAAAATTTCCCCCTGTTTTCCCCCCCCCAAAAAATGGGTTTTTAAAAATTTGTTTTTTTTTTTTTTTTCAAAAAAGTTGGTAAACAATCAAAAATTTTTTTAACTTGGGTTTTTTTAAGGTAAAAATACAAAAGTAAAAACATCCCAAATGCAAAGTTTTTTACCTTTTTTTTTTTTCCAAAAATTGGGGTTTTGGGATTTTGAACTGAAATTACAAGTTTTCTGTTTAAATAAAATTTTTTTTTTTTTTTTTTTGGGCAAACATTCAAGGTTTTGGGGGGGCTATCCCCCCCATATTTAGGTTATTGTAGCTTTTTTATGGTTCCCCCCCATTTTAAAAAGTTTTTTTTTTTTTTTGAAAAGGCGAAAGTTATTGTTTTTTTTAAAACCACTGTTTAAGAAGGAAAAATTTTTATTTTTTTTTTTTTGTTTTTTTTTTTTGTAAGAAAAACCATGAGGTTTGACAACACAAAAGATTTTTTTTTTTGAATGTTTTTTTTTTTGGGTTTTTGAGGGTTTTAGAGGGAAATTTTGGGGGTTAAAAACTTTCTTTCAAGTTTTTTTTAGAGGAATTTGTTTTTTTGGGGGGTGGGGATCTTTTGTTTTGCAAAAAAAAAAAAAACAACTTTGCCTTTTTTAAAAAAAGCAAAAAAATCTTTTTGCCATTTTTTTTTTTTTTGTTGTTTGGGGGAAAAAAAAAAATTATTCAAAAATGGAATAATTTGGTAAAATAACTTTGTTTTTTTTTTTTTTTGTAAAAAGAAAAAAAGAAAAAAAATTGGGTTTTCTTTTGTTTTTTTGAATGGCTTTGTGGGCTGTTTTTTTTTTGGTTTTTTTTTTTTTTTTTCTTGGAAAAAATTGAAAAAACGGAAAAAAAATTTTTTTTTGGGGGAAAAAAAAAAAAATTCCCCCTTAAAAAAAAATTAGTCGGGGGGGGGGGGGGGGGTTTTTTTAAGCGATTTGGAAGAAAAAAAGTGGGGGTAAAAAAAATCCAAAATAATATTTCCCCAAGGGAAAAATTTTTTTTTTTAAAGCCCCGCCCCCCCGCCCCCGTTTTTTTTTTTTTTTCCCTTGGGGGAAAGGTTTTTTTTTCCCTAGCCTTAAAAAACGTTTTTTTTTCTTTTTCCCCAAAAAATAACCCTGGCAAAAAAATTTAAAAAAATTTCTTTTAAAAATCAAAAATTTAATTTTTTTTTTCAAGAAAATACTTTTGGGTTTGGTACTTTTTGTTTGAATAAATTTTTGTTTTTTTTTTTTTTTCCCAGTTTAAATCCTTTAGGGAAAAAAAAAAAAAGAAAAGGGGAGGAGCGCGCGGGCTGGATGGCAAAACTTAACTTTAGACTTAACGTCACTTAACTGAACTTAACGTGTGAAGCGTTTAACTTAACTCACTTAACGTTAAACTTAACTTACTTTAACTTTAACTTAACTATCACCTATTATGGGTCCATAAAACATTTATTCAGCACTTTTGAATGCATACAGTACATTAATTCCAAGTCAAGTGCATTTTCTTTTCTCTGTAGGATAACTACAACAAAGTGCATTCAGAACAAAGCCAAGGTGCTTTAAAACTGCATAAACATCTAGGCCAGTAGGCCTACAACAACATAGTGTAAATAAAGACTGTAACAGCCAGGCCTTCAACAACAACAAATGCACCTATAACTTTGGTAACCTAACGTGTTGTTGTGATGACGTAATCAAAACGCGGCGACAAGCACGGCGCGCGACCATGCTCGCGGCTGGCTCACAGCCAACATGTCTGCCGCTTGGAGATATTTAAAAATATCAGAGAGAGAGAGGCGCGGATTGCGATTTGTAAAAACGTGTTCAGCTGACATTTCTCGAGGGGGTGTAACTGCAAAGACTTTCACCACTTCGGGATTACTCCACCACTTGAAATCAAAACACCCGGAAAAATATGCGGAGTATGATCAACGTAACCCTGTTCTCTGACATTCGGTGATATTTTTTCGGTGCTAAAACCCTTTCGGCCGAAAGGGCCTTTTAACCATTTTCGGCCGATAATTTTCGGTGGCCGAATATTCGGTGCATCCTTACTTAATGATGTATTTAATATTGTGATTTCCTACTTAGGGAAAGGATATTAATACTGCAATACTCTGCTGTTTCAGTTTCCTCTCAGGACACACGCATCTCTTGTTTATTTATTCTGTATATAGTTTTTCTGAAAGGGGTTGGTGTGGATTGCCCTCAGGACTTCTAGCAAACCTTGTCTGTCTGTTGTAAAGGTTTTGTGTTACATAAGAAAGAAGAGGTTGATGGTTGTTTTCAGTGTCCTCTTTCAGCATCAAAAGGAGTCTATAACTGGTTCACAGAAAAGTATAAAGAGGATCTGACCTTCACTTAACTGCGGGGCAAATGCATTTCAGCATGAGCGGCTCGCTGACGAGGATAGAGTCTGTCGGTGAACGGAGCTGATATTGTGGGATGTGACAGTGCCTTGAGGTTGCATGTGTTCACCCATGTTGGAGCACACCGGTGATTGTACTCCTGATTTAAGCTTTTCTTCAACAGAGGAAAGGTTAAAGGCTCGTTTCTCCTCAGCCCTGACACACCTGTCTTCTCAAAGGACGGTAAAGACGGAGAAAAGACTTAAGTCATGTTGGCTTAACCCCTTTTCCACCCCCTACTCTCCATAGTAACTACAGCTGCCTAGTATACCTCCTGTGGCTTCATTATTCTCTACGCTTCAGTCCTTTCTTTCTTTCTTTCGGTCACAGTGTTTCTCCATCCCACTTTTTTTGTGACTCTTTACACTGCTTTCCTTCCTTTCTTTCTTCCCCCCACCTCCCCGCTCCCTCCTGTCATTGTCAGCTGCCCAGCTGTAGTGACTGAAGGCTGACTGGCCATTGTTGTCCCCTGTACCAAGAGCCCTTGTGTCCCGCGCTGTCTCTGCACTTCATGCGGCCCAGCATCAATAGACCTCAGGCTGCTGCCACCAAGGCCCCCTGGGTGTGCTCCGTCACTCCCGGCACAATTCAAATCATTCACGTCCTAGTTTCAATGATCACTTCACCCAAGAAAGAACTTAAATATGTCCGCTCACCTGGACTGCTATGTGATTATCATTCATACTAACTATTTCCACCTAATAATCTCTTCATTATTCGTATGTGTGAGAGCCATGTATTGATGACAGGGATTTGATGTAAAACCAAAGCTGTATGCAAGGGTCATGTTCTCCACTAAATATAGCGACATAACATAACGCATACTAGTCATATCTTTCAAGAGCTGCCACTTCTGCCATCTTATTTCTCAGGTAAAACATAGATTAAACTCATAAAATAGTTAAGCAAAGCACCTCGTATCATTTCCTAGAGAATAAAGTGTCATCTTGTTTTGTTAATAAATTAAATTAAATAATATTCCAAAACTTAACAGAATACATGATCTGTTATCTGGAAATATTTATGATGAGTGAATTCCCTTTGAGCTGCTTTAGTATCAGGGTCCCGCTGCTTCCGGCCTTTTAACAGCAGGACATTTTGAGCTGTCATAGCAGGAAAAGCAGAGTTCCAGTAAATGTCCCAGTGATCTATTCCATGCACAATATATATGATTGATGCACTTTGTTTTTACATTAGAGCTCCGTAAAAACAAAGTCTATGCCACCTGACGGTATATTTGAAACGCTTTTCAATTTTCTTTTGTAATTATACACAGTTTTGGACGAACAGAAATATTGTTTTCACTTTAAAATGTTACAGGGAAAATCTGCATTTTAGTATGAGGGTGCCCCTGTTACCCGGTTTAGACAAAACCCTAACTATGTCTCCTCTAACAGGCCTATAAAAGCACCCTGGAACTACCTGTCATTAATGTAACGAGCTACACCTGTGTTTTACGACTCAACATTAACACCATGGGAGAGGTATAAGCCACCTTAATGACTGAGCAGTGTATTGTTATTGTGCTGTAAAGAATGGTTCCCTGTGATTCCCATCCAAACGGCACACCCAGAATACTGTTTTGTACAACACATAAATCCAAAGCATCTGCATGGATATTTATCCATGGATATTTATCCATGCAGAGATGCTGTCCTAATACCCCTATTCTGTTAGTTTTAATTTGGCCCTTATGCCCTTGTGATGTTGACCACAAGAGACTTTAATCAACACCTGAAAAAAACGTTTCAATTACGGTTAATTAATTAGACCTCAGGAAGTTGCTTCCCCAGTTACTGATTAGTAGGTCGGGTCCCAAATCACTCCGTCCTCACTGTATGGTCCCTTTTATGGTGAGGTTTGCCATTTTGTAGTGCGGTCTGAATGTATAGTGAGGAATATCATGCTATACAAAAATTGGACTCTGACATGCAAAGAAATGCAAACAATGATCGCTAACCAAAAATATAATCTAGGCATTGTGCAGAAGGGGAAATGGCAGCCAAGCAGCCAATTGAGACAAATCCATGTGTTGTCCACTTATTGTAAGTCTCTTTGGATAAAAGCGTCAGCTAAATGTAATGTATGTAATGTAATGTTGTGGCATGGAAATAACATGGATTAATGTGAGTGGAACAGCACATTACAACACACATGTCCATAAAGAACTGATTTAATATGGGGAAAATGTGCCCAGTATGATATGTATTAATCAGAAAATGTATTGAACACAGCCTTAGTACACACATGCCTATCTGTCATGTAATGTGCAGACACACACACAGAGACTTGTTTGACAGATATTTGTGGATGATTGGACTTTACTATTGATACGATAATCGTTTTTTTCCTCTTCAGCGAACATTTTAAATGAATAAAATATTGAATGCCATCACCTGTGGTTTAGAGTTGGTTTCCTCTGGGTTTTTTCACTTTGCAGTGATACACACCACTGTTCTTTTCCTCTTACATGTACAAATCTGAACCTTGACCTTCTACTTGTAGAGCATTGTAAGATCTTTTTTATATTAACTGGATCAAGACAAGTGTTTTGATTATTTCAGTGTCTTCTAATTGATTGACATGTGCTATCAGTTGTGTCGGCTTTAGTGTGAAAAGGTTATCGGCAGTGAAAGGTCACAGGGTGCTGGGACAGCCTGGTTATCTAACATGTTGATGTCTTAGCTCTGCTGCAGTCCACTCTTGATATATTTGGCATTTGCGCTGTGAAGACTGTAACCTGATCTGTTTTTGTAACAGTCCCAGCTTGATGTGTTTGCAGTGGGAATGTCTCCGGATCCTGAGATAAGGATGGAGGAAGGACCAATTGTAACCTTTTCTAGCATTAACACATTGTTTGATTCATCATTGCTTTATTAATCTTTTCATACCTCAATGAAACTAAATACTGCTTGAAATGTAACATAAGATTTAGTTCTGGCAGTGGAAGTGCACGACACATCCTGTTATACTCTTTTCAGCTACTCGGGATTCACTGCAAATTTAAATTCCTGCAGATGATAGAGGCACAGTCAAATTCTTGCAGTGCTGAAAGAGATGTAATAATATTAGCAACATGTTTTAAAGCAGTCATTAATGCATTGGCTCAAAACAGAAACGTAACTAAAGCATGTAATCTGCTTCTTCTAAAACCTTTGAGCCAGTTTTATTTTTTCCTTTACATGATGTGGCTTATATGCTTTTCGTGGTTTTATTTAGACGTGTGTGTGTGTGTGTGTGTGTGTGTGTGTGTGTGTGTGTGTGTGTGTGTGTGTGTGTGTGTGTGTGTGTGTGTGTGTGTGTGTGTGTGTGTGTGTGTGTGGAAAGATAAATACTCTTCCTCTCATGTAGTTCATGCTCCGGTCAGGTTCAGTAGAAATGAAGACACACTTGGTTATGCATGTCCACACACATGCAATGGTAGACAGTGTACTGTAAACGTACATCTTATTTAAATATTAAAATGATGTTTTATACCATTTAAAAGGAGATGCTGTGGTGGATCAGAGGGGAGTTCAGGGATCCCCCTGCTGTCTCTCTTTTAGCTCTTAGAAACCCTTGGAGTATTTCTATCTGTTTCCACATAAACAGAGCAGATTAGCAGAAAGATTTCAGGGAATATTAATAACCTGCTCTAAACCAAAGCCAACTGCCTTCCACACCACAGCTAAAGACACAGACAGATTTGTCAAACATGAGCTGCTCACAAAGTGAGTATGTGCTTCAATGATTAACTTAGTGCGGACTGGTAATGTATTCACAATAACATGGAGTTATGTTATAATAAAAGACTTAATTCCAAAGCTGAAAATGGATTTCAAATGTGATCTGGCATGACTGAGACTAGTGTTCTTAGTGCACGGAGGCCTGTCTGTACTGATGTTCAGAACAAGCCAAATACTTCATGTGGGTTGACTTTCTGGTAAAGATCCTGGGGCATGGTGTGAAAGCTGATTATTTGCTGCTTGTATATCCAACCATGATATCAGTCGCCATTCTAAAGAAAGTGGAAACACGTCTGCTTTGCATGACTTTCTCTTAACTACCCTTAACATTAATCGCCTGGTGGATGTGCGGAATATTCCTGCATACCTTTCATTGTACAGGTGTACACAGTGATCTGCAATATACTTGGCTCAAGTTTGGCTTCTACCACATTAAAGTTGTATGTATAATAATCATTAATATTTGTATTTTATTTGTTTCGTTTTTAGACACCTTTTCAACTAACACAAATGTAGTTACAGGTTAAGCACTACATCTGGGCAACAACACATTTTAATGGGGCACCCAATCATTTTCAGTGGGACTCAAACAAATAACAGTTGGCAGGTCAGGGGAGCATGGACCC